TATATATATAATATATATATTTATTTGACGATGAGGTTCGTATGAATCCCCATTCCCCACCTAGCTAGATTCGCTCCCGACTTAGAGGTATTTATCTCAACTGATCGGACATTTTGAATAATTTAAGTCCCGTACAAAACATAATTACAAAGTGGAAGAAATAAATTTGGAGATTAATGGATGTTAGCATTATTGAAATTTAATTTATTAAAGTATCGACAAGACAAAAAGGAAGAAAATGCACGAATTAGTAAGAAGCATGTATATTCCTAATAACTAAATTAGAAAATGTCGACTTCAATCAAATACTAGTAATTTGAGAAGAAAAAATAATTGTAATCAAATACGTGGATGAAAATATTAAAGGCCAAGGGTACATAATGATTGCCCACTTAAAGAACTTTTTTTTTTTTATCATCAAGTCATTGAAAATTTTGAACTACCACCAAATCACACTATTTGTTTAAAACAAAACCCACAAGCATAAGTTATATTAAAAAGTTCTCCATAAATGATTAAATTAAAATAGAAAAGTTGTCATCCATTTTGTCTATCTATGGGATATGGTGCCCAAAGGATAAAAACAAGAAAATGACTTGCAATTTGAACTTCGAAAGTGACTTTTGACCATCTATGTTTTTCTATCTCAATTATATTATAAACAAAGTCCTAGAATTTTCTCTATATATATCTTTCATTATCTTATTGACTTATTGTATGCCGGCCCTATACACTTTTTAAAAAAAGTATTATTCAAGTTAATTTGCTTTTATATCAATTATTTATCGAATAAATAGCTCTGTCAAAAGAGCAAGTCTTAATAATTTTACCCAAGAAAACATAGACAAGAAGAAAGAAGTATATTTTTGTCTTTGATAGAATTTGCTGGCCCTATCAATCCGATATGGTTTGTAGCTCTATTATTATAGTTGTTAAAGATAAAAGTCGAATTCGAGGTTTCATTAAGCAAAATAAAAATGACACATTCATTATAATTCAATAAAGGAGGAGGAACAACGATATATCTATTATAATTCGATAAATAAGGAGGAGAGCAATAACATATCTATTATAATTCAATAAATAAGGAGGATGGAGGGTACGGAGACCTTAGTTAATAAAAATAGACTTGTAGGGGGCTTGTCTTTAAACCAAAAAAGACCTTAGGCAAAATAATAAAGGAAATATGAAATAACCACATTAAATCAGTGAAGGCTATTTTGTCACAATGAGTTTGCATGTCCTAACTCATAATCATCATATCTTGGCTTACAGGATCCTTGATTATATGATGTACTAATTATCCTTTTTTTTTTAACTTTACATCTGCCAAATTACGTAATTTAGTCAATTTCGTCTCAGGGTTTGTTTGGAAAGCCACCAAGTAATTGGAATTGGTGTAATTACTAGGATAATAATTACCAGCCTAGTAATTACACAGTCTAGTAATTACACTGACATGTTTGGTTGCCACAGTAATTACACATGTCATGTTTGGATGCCACAGTGTAATTGCACATGTTCTGTTTGGATGCACAATTGCAATCATAAAATTATAATAAATTTTAAAAATAAAAATTAATCATTTAAAATTTATACTAGACAAATAAGAAA